AGAAAATAATCTTAAATAAACGTGTTCATAAAATTTAAAAAAATTNTTATGCGTAGAAAATCATCTGCACTGCACATAGCGGACCGAAAAAAATAACCGATTCAATATCATGAAAAATGATCAAATACTTTAAAAAACAGTTGAATGTCAATCATTGAAAAAGTTGCAATTACCTTCATATATAATTTCTCTGTCAATAAGAGAGCCAAAACTTTTAAACCAGTTGCTATTTCTATATATGTACCAACCCTCTTTTGTCACACCACAACATTTTAGCTTGAAAATAAATTAAAGTTGAAAATGAATATAATATTACATCTAAATCCAAACAAAAAATCAAAATAAACTTATAAAATATCCAATATAATATTAGAAGTAATAAGTGTCAGAAAGTAACCAAGGTGGTATATTAAAATTTAAATTACTAATTAACATATTTTGTAAAAAAAATTTGGGTAAAAAAATGAAAATAACCCTTTCTTGAGCTTTGTCCCATGCATCAGTGACAGCTCTGTTATATTCATTTTGAAAATTTACTCCATAAAAATCAGTTAGAGTGCTTGACATTGTTTCCTTTACTTTATCCCCAATCTTAATGATTATGTAACAAAACATCAGCTTCAAGTTTATGATGTAAAATGCTGAATGCTCACCTGAGTTCTGAAGACGATGGCACATATGCCTCCTATGAAAAGTCCAATGGAAATAATAATCAAAACAACGAGATACTGGAGTTAAGAAGTTGGAAAATGTATTAGAAACATTCAAATTTTAGAGAATTGAATTGTAAATACAATGTAATAATAAAATATTAGAATTCCAACTAATGAAAGTAAAAAATATTTTTGTACAATACTGAAGTATTGTAAATAGCTGAATTGTTAAGATTAATTCAATAAATTTGGCAAATATCATCAAAAGTTTCTTCTGTATATACCAATTCTTTATGATTATGATGAAGATTAGTTTAACTTATAATAAAAAAAAACCAAGCTAAAAATTCATTGTTAAAAACAAGTACAATGATCATATATCATACATAGAATATAGGAAAAAAATACAATCGTATTAAAACTTTTCAAGAAACAAATAAAATTAAAAAACTTGATCTAACTATTTTCAAGAATATCTTATTTTCTCGGATGACACCACAACACCCAAAAAAGGAAATGAAAAATATTGTAACACCACCAGCTAGGATCAAAAAAACTGCAGCAGCATACAAATTATTTCCAATGATGGTTGTCATAAAATTTCTATCCACCCCAAGCCAAATTCCCACAGCAAGTAACACCAATCCAAATAACTGTGTGAATTCAATTATTCAAGTTAAAAAATATTGATAAATAATGAAGTGAGGCGCCACAGTTTGTTTGTTTGTTTATTTTTTATTACATTCTCATTAATAAGCATGTACTTAAAAAGTTAAGGTTATCATTATGAACATGTTTTAAAATATATAAGCATGGTAATATATTTTTTGTAAGTCAGAGATCCAACTGAGTTAATGATTAATAATAGTTTTTTTTTTAAAAGAATAACAAAAACTACCAAATTTTGTCAACCTATTATTATGACTTTATGAATAACACACAACCCTTATTTATTAAAATAAAACACAAAAGTATTTTCTTTTAATGCCTTGAGCAAATGTCCAATTGCGGCATTAGGCTGCTTAATTTATAATTTTATTATACTTACTAATAGTTCCTATCCCAAACCTCATCCTTAGGCTTGTTTTATTGTTATTATTAATTTATTAATTAATAAGTGAATTTATAAACTTACCTTATCATCAAAATATAATGTTTAATTTACAATTAAAACTAAAATTAAACTAAATTAAAAGTTTTTTTTTTAAATTTTACATCATAAAAAATTAAAAATAAAAAAAGTATAAAAAGGACTAACAAAGGTAATAAATGTATATATGAACAAAAAAAATCTCATAAAATAAATTGTGTTATCTTCATTTTTGTTATGCGGTTTGTAGCTAATGTACTCCATTTAAAATCTTTTTGAAAAATTCTCACAAGCATCAAAAAATAATCGAAAATAAATTAATCAGGTGTTCGTCGTCTGTACAGGTAAGTTGAGCAAAACATAGCTACTTTTATTTGTCTTGAAGCATAGACAATTTAATCACATTGCCATCAGTATTTTGCAAATATGTAGAATAAATGTTTTTTTAAATGTTTTTTGAATAATTGTGTTTTGTATATGTGAGAAATGATGAGCAAGCGTTAAGACGAGGTAAATTTAGAACAAATTTGTCGAAACTGTTTTGTATTTGCTGAAAAGCAGGTATCTAAGATGATAGAGAGTCGCAGGTTGTAGTAATCAAGGATGAATAATACAAGAAAGCATGGTAACTTGGACAAGTCAAAAGAATGAATAAAAAGACAGTGTACCAAATATACCAAATTACTTGGTTTCACATTTTTATGAGAGCGGAGGGTAAAGAGTAACGCCTAAGTGGTTGACTCCAGATAAGTTGGAAGATGATAGCTAAATGTCAATCTTGTATTGACAAAATACAGTGTTAAGATTGTCAGGTTAATGATGTGTTGATGGAAAATTGTAAACTGTGCTGGAGTGGATAAAAAAAAACATCAAGGTCATTATCCTTTCCTTGACCCATACTCATTATCTGTGTTAGCCTAATTTATTACGCTCGCAGGTCACAATTCGACATAAAAGGAGTACAAATTATATGAAGCTCGTTATTCTATACGAGGCGCCAGGTATAATACAATACAAACTAACGATAAGATAAAACCTAAGCTTAGTGATCTCAACATCTTTCAATCTTTTATAATTCTTCCTAAGGCTGTCAATCTGTCAGACGAAAAGCTGTTTACGTTATTCTAAAACATTCAATTACCCTAAAACATTCGCGCCACAAAGACTCTTCTATCCAAACCACACGACGTACACATACGTTACGTATGTACGCGCAAGCACCGCATCATAAGCGTGCGAGTTTCGTGTAGCATTCGAGCCAAGAAATTTCTGCCGACTGGGCTTACTCGTTTTTCAAAATCCGTCCTGCCCATGTTTAAACCTGTGGAGCTCCTAAAGTGAAAAACGCAGACCTCACTTGCTTTATATAAATCATCAAAAAGTTTTTCGACGGAAAACTTATTTTATGACTGGACAAATACGAATTCGATAGCCGTTTGAAGTCGCGATTTCGACAACAAATGATATTAAACAACTAATTCGATTGAAATTTTTTTTAAATCAATTCAGAAAAAATTGTTAAAGTCTACTGAATACAACTGGCATTTGACGCAATACGTGGCCAGAGATCAGCACATTCTTTGGCAACAGGTCCAGTGATGGCGGAACCTATAAGTTGAATAATAATACAGGACATGTATCCAAATTAAAAAGCATAGAATTGAAATAACCACCTTTCATTTCGCCTTTATTGTTAACTATAACACCAGCATTATCTTCAAATGTTAAAAAGGTCCCATCTTTTCGTCTTATGGCTTTACGTTGCCGTACCACAACAGCCGGCATTACTAAAACAAATAATTAAATAAAAAATTCACTATTTAAAAATCTTATACAAAAAAATTAAGTGAATTTTCACAAAAATACAATCAAATCAATTTTACATATTAATTCTTAATAGAAAACCAAATAGCAGATTAGGCACCAAACTGCAGTGCTGCCTCAGCGGGGTCAGGAGTTAAAACAAATAGGATAAAGCACTGGGTTCAAAATTGAGCAGACCCCTTCAAAGTTGTTCAGTTTTATGCTGAAAACTGAGACCTGGAAATTTTGATTCAGCCATGGAAATATGTATAAAAAAGTGCAGATGTTTATGGTGATAAACGAGATTGTATAAATTGAGAGCTTACTATTTTGATAAGAAGAAATTAGGCAAGATTATAATGGACCCAATAAAATGTTTTTGAGGATTGGAGAGCACAAATGCCTGACCAAATAAAGACTATTTTATGGTGTCTTGTTAAATCTAAAAAGGAGTTTAGCCAATTTGTACTGTTGAATTGACTGTAATCTTTGGTACCAATTTAAGAATGTGATATAAAATACAATTACAAAACTGACAAAATTAGAGAACATGCATAGGCCAAGAGGGTGTCACATGTCAGGTGTTTGAAATGGCTCTGAAGTGGCAGTTGCATGGTCAACATTCTCAAATTTAGCAACAAAGGCAAGGATTACTGTTCAACTTAACTTTATAATTCTAAAACCGTCAAATAATTTATCAAATCCAAGATGTGTAGAGCAGAACATTAAGGACTCACAAACTTTGAAACATGAAAGACAAGAATATTGTTACAGTAAAATTTAGTGCATACAAAAAATGACTGAAATTATAATGAAATTTATGTGTAAATCTATAAACCACTCATTGTACAACATAAAAACAAATTCATGCTAAAATAATTTAAACAAGTCAAAAAATACAAGTAATCTGGGATACATTTAAGGTTGACCTTCTTTATGAAAGTCAACATATAATAAACAAATGATGAAAAAACATATAATTACCCTTTTTCCTAAGTTCTGGTTTGCCTTTTTTTACTGTTGCCATAACCATATCACCACTGCCAGCTGCAGGCAATCTATTCAATCTACCTTTAATGCCATGAACAGAGATGATGTATAAATTTTTGGCTCCTGGAAAATAAACGTTTACAAATTATTGGCATATAATAGTTATAATTCAGGTAAAAACTAATAAATCATATACGACATAGTTAACCCACCAATGCATAGTGGGTCTTTTTAGGAACAGCTCTTTTAAATTCATTATCAAATTAGTCTTTGTCTTATTTGAGTTTTTTTTTATAGCACATCTCTATAAATCACCCATCTTCACTATTTTGTTTACCTTTTTGTTTCATCAGAAAATTTGTTGAAGTTTTTTATGTTTAAAGTCAGCGATACTGAAAATTTCGATTTTTTGACATGTCTAATCAAAAAAGGTAATAAACAATTTTGATTAAATTTTTTCCTGAAACTTTTAAAAATTTTAAATTGCATTATTATTTATTTAGTTAATTACGTGAAATTGATGATAGAACATCTTGTAGTTTTTTTATAAACACTAAAATTGTTCAGATCAAGATAGTGGTCCTGAGGATGGGGAAGGAATTATTGACAATTTATCAAAAACTTTATTGAATTCAAATGCTGAAGCATTAATTTCCAACATTGAGGCAGGCAAAGAAATGCTTCAGAAAGAAGAAATTGATATGCAAATACAAACACCATTAAAAAAAAGTATATCAATTGAAAGAAATTGGAAGAAGAGTGACATTTTGAATGTAGAACCCATACCAGTGTTTTCTGAAAATAGAGAATTTGAGAATTCATCTCCTCACACTCTGTTTAAATTATTTTTTGACGATGAAATAATCAAATTCATCACTGACATGT